AGACTAGGACGGGCATTAAGAACTTGTAGAATTAATCGAGTCAATTAGCATCAACTGTGAACAGATTGGAATCTCAAGGTAAATTGCCTTCACAAATTGTTGTTAATCCAAAATAAAATGCTAGTGCGATTACATTGAGTGGGAAAGAATTGAAAGAACCTAACAAGATGAAGCAAGGCAACTCAGGAGAAGAAGCTGAAAATAAGGCTATCTCTCAACCTCAAACTAACCAGTTTGAAAGCCTTAATAGAGACAAACTAAAAATTTTGGTGACAAACCCTCCTTTTCCTATAAGATTGAATAAATCCAAGAAAGAAGAAAAAGAGAAGAAAATCTTGGAGACCTTTCGCAAAATAGAGGTAAATATTCCCTTACTTGTTGCAATTAAACAGGTGCCTCGATATGCTAAATTTCTCAAGCAATTGTAACAACAAGAGGAAGTTGAAAGGTAATTAAAAGGTAAGCATGGGAGAGAATATTTTAGCCATCCTTCAAAGGAAATCACCTCCCAAATGCAAAGACCCAGGTGTGTTCACTATTCCTTGTAAAGTAGGTAATGTTAGGATTGAGAAAGCAATGATAGATCTAGGAACTTCGATAAATTTCATGCCTATTTCTGTTTATTCATCTTTGAATAATGGTCCATTGAAATAAACAGGTGTGATTTTTCAACTTGCTGATAGGTCTAATGTGTATCCTGAGGGAGTCTTAGAGGATGCTCTAGTGCAAGTTAATCAATTGATTTTTCCTGCTGATTTTTATGGAAGAAGACAACTTTTCTAATCTTATACCAATCCTGTTAGGAATGTTATTCTTGAAAACATCTAGGACAAAGATTGATGTGCATGCTGGTATACTTACAATGGAGTTTGACAGTGAAATTATTAAATTCAATAGCTATGATGCCATAAGATATCCTAGTGATATGTCCCTTGTTTATGTGTTTGATGTTATTGACTTTTTAGTACAGAATTTCTTTGATCTTATTGATGATGATAAATTAAAAGTTGCACTTAGCAGGAGCCTCACTCTTGGAGGACTAGAGAAAGCTATAAAGAAGTTTGTGTTGGATTCTGACTTGCAAGGTGCAATTCACGAACTAGAGTCACTTAAATCTATAAGGTATAATCTATCTCAAATTGAATTGCCCTTTTCTCACACAAAACTTGTTTCTTCTATTATGCAGGCACCAAAATTGGAATTGAAACCCCTACCAGATCATCTGAAGTATGTGTTCTTAGGAAAAGGATAAACTCTTCCAACAATTATCTCCAAAATACTCTCTACCTTGGAGGAAGAAAAATTAATTCGGGTGCTTAGAGAGTATAAAGCGGCTATTGGATGGACAATAGCTAACATCAAGGGATTGCGTCCTTCCACATGCATGCATAGGATATTACTGGAAGAAGGCTGTAAACCTTCTAGGGAAGCCCAACGAAGACTGAACCTACCCATGATGGAAGTGGTAAAAAAAGAAATCTTGAAACTTTTAGACGCAGGTATGATCTATCCAATTTCGGATAGTAAATGGGTAAGTTCGATTTAGGTTGTCCAAAAGAAAACAGGTATAACAGTGGTTAGAAATATTGAAGGTGAGATGGTGCCTACTCGTGTTGAAAATGGTCGGTGGGTGTGTATAGATTATAGGAAGTTAAATACAGAAACTAGAAAAGATCACTTTTCCCTCTCGTTTATAAATCAAATGCTAGAATGTTTAGCCGATCGTACTCATTATTGTTTTCTTGATGGTTATTTAGGTTTTCATCGGATCCCAGTTGTATTTGAAGATCAACAGAAAACCACATTCACATGTCCCTTTGGCACCTTTACATATCAACGAATGACATTCGAACTTTTCAATGCCCCTGCTACGTTCCAGAGGTGTATGGTTAGTATATTTTTAGATTACGTGGAGAACATCATAGAAGTATTCATGGATGATTTTATAGTCTACGGTGATTCTTTTGATGCATGTTTAAGTAACCTCCAAAAAGTGCTTAGAAGATGCATAGAAACAAACCTAGTCTTGAATTATGAGAAGTGTCATTTTATGGTTGATCAAGGCATTATTTTGGGCCATATTGTATCCTCCAGGGGTATTGAAGTTGATAAATCTAAGATGTAAACTATTAAATCTTTGGCTTACCCCCACAAATGTGCGGCGAATTCGCTCTTTTCTTGGACATGCAAGATTTTATCGGCGCTTTATCAAAGATTTTTCCAAGATCACTTAGCCCATGTGTAAATTATTACAAAAAATTGTGGTATTTGAATTTGATGAGGCATGTAAAGGTGCATTTGATAAATTGAAAGATATGCTCACTTCAACACCAGTTATCCAGCCGTCGAATTGGAGCCTTCCATTTGAAATCATACGTGATGCGAGTAATCATGAAGTAGGTCATGTGCTTGGACAAAGAGTTGGAAGGGCCCATCATGCCATTTTTTATGCCCCCAGGACACTTGACAGTACACAACGCAACTATTCAACTACGGGAAAAAAAACTTTTAGTTGTTGTTTTTGCTTTAGAAAAATTTCATCCATATTTGCTTGGCACTAAAGTAATTATTTATTCTGATCATGCAACTCTAAAGTACTTGTTTTCGAAGAAGGAGGCGAAACCTAAACTTATTCAGTTGATTCTTTTGCTACAGGAGTTTGACTTAGAGATACGTGATAAATATGGCACATAAAATTTGATCGCTAATCATATAAGTAGATTAATCACAAGTGAGGAACCATCACCATTGAAGGACAATTTTCCAGATGAGTATCTTTTTTTTGACTTAGAGATACGTGATAAAAAGGGCACATAAAATTTGATCGCTAATCATCTCAGTAGATTAATCACAAGTGAGGAACCATCACCATTGAAGGACAATTTTCCAGATGAGTATCTTTTTTCCATTCAAGAGACAATCCCCTGGTACGCTAATATAGTTAATTATTTCGTTACTAAAATACTACCAAATGATTTGTCTAGAGCTCAAAAAGACAGAATAAAAAGTGATGCTAAATATCATGTGTGGGATGATCCTTACTTGTGGAAACATTGTTCTGAACAAATTATTCGCAGGTGTGTGCCCCAACAAGAAATTCCTTCAATTTTAAAATTTTGTCATGCTTGTGGGGGCCATTTTGGTCCTAAGAGAACAACCCGTAAAGTATTAGAGTGCGGATTTTTTTGGCCTACTTTGTTTCGTGACTCATACACGTTTTGCAAGTCTTGTGAACAATGTCAGAAAACTGGAACCATAGGGCATAGAGATCAAATGCCACTTACCCCTATTCTTGTTTGTGAAATATTTGATGTGTGGGGTATTGACTTCATGGGCCATTTTCCTTCTTCTTATAATAATGTTTACATTATTCTTGTTGTGGATTATGTTTCAAAGTGGGTGGAAGCAAAGACTACTCGGACTGATGATGCTAAAGTGGTTGTAGATTTTGTCAAATCTCATATCTTTGTTAGGTTCGGGACATCAAAGACTATCATCAGTGATCACGGGACTCACTTTTGCAATAGAGTGGTGGAAGGTTTATTAAAGAAATACAATGTTACTCACCGTATCTCTACTACTTATCACCCACAAACAAATGGACAAGCTGAGGTATCCAACAGGGAAATTAAATCCATACTTGAAAAGACTGTCAACCCGAACAGGAAGGATTGGAGTCTAAGGCTTGATGATGCACTTTGGGCATATCAAACTGCCTACAAAACTCGTATAGGTATGTCTCTTTATCGCTTGGTAATTGGAAAACCATATCACCTTCCAGTAGAGCTAGAACACAGGGCATATTGGGTTGTCAAGCATTGTAATATGAGAATGGATGAGTCGGGTAACCAAAGGAAATTACAACTGCAAGAGTTGGAGGAGATCCACACTGATGCCTATGAGAATCCAAAGATCTACAAAGAAAAGACAAACGCCTTCCATGATTAAATGATTTGCAGAAAAAAAAAATCTATTGGTCAAAAAGCTTTACTTTATCATTCTAAATTAAAACTATTTCCTGGTAAGTTACGTTCTAGATGGATAGGACATTTCCTTGTTACTAATGTGTTTCCTCATGGTGCAGTCGAAATTCAAAGCTTGGATACCGGTACAACTTTTAAAGTCAATGGGCATCGCTTGAAACCTTTTTACGAAGGTTTTCAAGTGTATAATGTTGATCAAGTTAGTTTGAAATGCCCAAGTTACATCGATTGAGAAATAGCAACGTCTAGCCAAAGACGTTAAAAAAAATGCTATTTTGGGAGGCAACCTAAATTTTTTTTTCGTATTAGCAATCAATTTTATCTTTATTTCATTATTCTTATTATTTTTTATGACCTTTTTAATTCGTTAAGGTGTAATTGATCATGTTACGTTTATTAAGTCATGGGCGAGCTTGTAAAAGAATCAATGAAAACAAAATAAGCGTGCCCGCGCCTTATTCACAGTGATCCTAGGGTTTGAGAGACGAGAACCAAAAAAATAAATAAATAAAAATTCAGAAAAGGGAGAGTAAAAACGGACACGCCCAAAATCTCAAAATCCCTAATCTCAGTATCCCTCTTTCCCTGTCTCCTCTCGTTCGCCACCAACCACCGTCGCCTTTTCCTTTTTGCTTCCTCAACCGCCACAAACCACTCACTGGAACCCATGGGAAGACAAAAGGGAACCTCCAACACCCCTATCAACACCAGGAGGTCCACTCAACCGAACCCAAGTGCAAGGACCCGAACCAACACCGAGGCTAGCACTTTGCCCGCACGAAAAAAGGGCTCGAATTGGTAAGGGAATGCATATACTTCCACCTTCTAAGTCTGATTTGAATGGACACTCGCAATTTACAAAAAAAAAAAAGGACAAGGACAGGTATAAGAAAATTTGTGGTAAGCCTATCACCCCTTGTAGTACATTCATAAACGGACTATGGCTGCTTTACATATTGAGACGAACGTGCTTGAATTAATTGACAATATAGGATGGCAAACTTATTTTTCAATTCAATGTCCGGCCACTATATTGAACTTGTCAGGGAGTTTTACACTACTTTTGAATTTAAGAAACCTGCAGAATTCACGCTTAGTAGCCCAAAGGTAGTTCAATTTAGACTTATCGGGAAAGAGTTCAAGTTTTCAATTACTGAATTTAATGCTGCTTTTGGGTTTATCAATGAGGAATATGCTGTAACCGATGAGTATTTGAATAGTCCTTGTGATTACAGTGAAAATTTTGAACCGGTTAGTTTATATAAAGCACCGTCTACTTATAATTACTATGATTCGAGTAAATCTAAAGATTCATATCTTCGTGATCCTGCTTTGAAATACATTCATAGGTTTCTTGCATTTACCTTTTCGGGTAGGAAAGATTCTGCTGCGGTTTTGGCCAAATCTGAATTTTATTTCCTATGGTGTATGCAAAAGATGATCAAGGTGAATCTTGGATATTGGTTAGCCTCCCAGTTTGCCAATGTTATGACCAACCAACGTCCTTTAATTTTGGGTTCTTTGATTACTCATTTGGTTGTGCATGAAAATTTAATTGATCCTAATGACAATGATCTTCATATTGCTTGTGAGATGCAACCATTGGACTTACTTTGTTTGGAGACAATGTGTTTAGTTTGGAAGGAAGCAGGTGTGTACTATTTCCATGAACCAGGACCTATTGCATCTCGACCAACACGCACAATTCCGAAAACCGTAAGTAATGAACGGTCATTTGTTCCTTATCGACCTTCAAGCTCCACAACACCTTCCAAAGGGCTGTATGATGATCGGTTTGAAAAGCTCGAGCTTCAACTTGCAAGGATGGAAAAGAATATGACAGCCCTTCTTTGCTCACATGGAATTCACTCCACCTTTACCACCACCTAGCACCTAAATATCTCCAGAGGAGTCCTCTATTTTTTTATTTTTATAGTTTTTTTTTTTTAATTTTGTTACATTGTGGACAATGTCCGGCCTAAGTATGGGGGAGGGTTCTTGCTATAATTTTTCCTTGAATTTGAATCCTGCTTTCATTAAAATTTTTTGCCGAATAATTTTTTTTCATTAAAATTTGAAGAGAGAGAGAGAAAAAAACTGTTTTTATCGTTTTTTTATCTGTCCAGTTCTAAATTAGTTTCTTGATTTAATTAAAACGTTTTGTAAAATATCATAGAAGATTTGAAGGTTGGAATCATCAATTTCTTGAAATTTAAAGCTAGAAATTTGTGAACTAAGACACTAAAAGTTCTCTATTCAGATATAGTCAAAAATTGATCATCGAATTTTGGTTAAAACTTGAATCCTTTATTTTTAGTATAATATACACGTGAACATCTAGACGATATTATATTTTTGAATTAATTCTTTTTTTAAAAATTCTGGATAATTCTTATTTTTCATTCCATTATGAAATGCCTATGAGTAGCTGAGCTAAAGGAGTCGTGAGTCTCAACTGGGTATCCTGTACATTGGGCAAAAAATTTGTATAGTACGTGTAGTATTTCGCAATGTTTGGAGACGACCCCGACTTTAATTTTTCATTCTACATAACCAGACTCTGCAAATAACCCTCTCACTAAAATTATTTAATTTCTTGACATTCAAGCCAAAAATTCTTAAATACAAAACACTACACACATTCACGGGTAGGTGCTCAACCATTGAGCGAAAACTCTTTGACTTTTGTATATTAATTTTATTTGACAATATTAATAATGTAAATGACGTTTTCAAAGTATGAAAACACGTAGGCTAAAATTGTGGTAATGCATTGACTTACATTGATGTTATGTTATTTTTTTTAAAACAAAAAAATTGCATTCTAATTCTTTACCTCACAATAGAAATTGTCTGACTCCACCACCGAAGCCAACCAAACATGCCAGTAAAGAACACACGTGGGGAGACGGAACTTAGCTTTAACATATTGTATAGTTTTATTATAAAACTTTTATACAGTACACACATACAATACAAGTATTGTTTACCAGACAAGAGTCCTAGTAGCAGGACTACAAGATTACAACAAAATTATAACAAATCCTTATCAGTACATAGCACACCATTAACGAGTAAATTTATATCCTTGTAGCAGGATATGAACAAAAACGACCATAAGCAAAGCAAACCCGAACAGAAAGATGTGGTCGTAGGTGTCCTTGTTTGGAACATGGGATGAGTGAGGCGGAAGATCCTGTTCATATTCCATGTACTCTGTAAGCTGCTGCTCGTAGTGATGGTGGTGGTGAAGATCTGGACCATTTCCCTCCCTCTCG